ACGGGACATCGCTGACTTTCTGTTTCCCTTTAGTTCTGGTCTCCTTCGTCTTTCGTCTAGATCGATCTTTTCCTTTGTTTCTTTTTGGCCTGAGCGCCAACGTGGCAAATTCTATAGTGCTCTTTTTCCTCTTTTTTCAATTTCTATTCTTTTCATCGGCTATTCATGGGAAAGTGAGAGAAGAAATGATGAAATAAAGGCGAACAATAACCTGACTACCGTAACAAATTTGCCATTACTATTCCTATTCATATTCGTCATTCCTGTCCTTTTTCAAAACTATTCATTAGTCAAAGCCTGGCTTGTCCCAAGGGCCCACTTGAACCTCATGGTTCGTAGATTGCGTGCTCCCGCGCTACTCAGAGGGTGTTACGAAGTTTTCAACCCTCCGGGGCCCTTCCGATCGATTATCGATCAATAATTCAAAAAATTAGTTGTTTATCGATGTAATGATAGAAAAACATTCAGTGTTTTCAGATGAATCGTGCCATGCAGGTGAAACCGGCCGACACCGAGAGCCGACCAGCCAGTCCGAAAGACAAGGTGATTTGCCCAGCCAGCAGTGAATGCTTGCAGTAGTCAACGCGAGCACGGCACATGCCGTGCTTACGTCGACTACCGCCGGCATTTCGCCCGGCGTCAATTTTGCTACAGATTTCCCACCTTGGTGATATTTTAGTTACAGGTCGATGATAAGAAATTGTTCGTCGGGATGCTCTCGAAGCATCAATCCGAGGACGAAGTTCGAGCTCTGTTCGCCCCTTTTGGTGTTTTGGAAGAGGTAATTTTAATGCTATTTGGTGCAAAAATCACCTTACTATTCCATATAGTGAGCAGTAAAAGTAATGGTATATAACAGATGAAAGGAAAGCTATTCTTATACGTTCCCTTTACGACAAACTTGGGGAATATTTGCTTTTAAGCATGCAGAATTGGACTTTGAACGGTCTCTTGATCTTCTTCGCTTTCCGGGAATCTTCTATTAATTATTCAAGAAACGACCGCAGGTCTTCATAGTAAGTTCCGCTGCATGGGCTTCCGATCCTAGAGACTTCCGGGTCCGTTACCAACACTTCGTCGAGCTGACGGTGGTCAGAG